TGCTACAGTAAAGGTCCAGTGAACTCTAATTCTGCCGCATTAAGAGGCACTTTCTGTTCCCTTTATGACACCTGTGTGGTGGTGCCCTCACACTGAGTATGCCTGGCTATGCACCGATAACAGTGGTCTCAGGTGTAGGGGAGGCATTCAGGAAGCTCTCTGAAGCACAGGGAAAGAATAAGAGAGCTTTAGTATCGCCCTTTAAAATTTTCTGTTCATATATTTTATAATGTATCTAGCATATTATATCTACATTTAAATGTATGTGTGGATACATATACTCACATATATACATAAACACATTTAAAAATAAACGCCTGTTGCCATTGAGTCAATTCTGACTCATGGAGACCCTGTGCATTACAGAGTAGAACTGCTCCATAGGGCTTTCTAGGCTGTGATCTTTACAGAAGCAAATAGCCAGGACGTTTTCTGCGGTGCTTCTGGATGGGTTCAAACTGCCAACCTTTAGATTAGCAGACAAGTGCTTACTGTACCACCGAGGAACCCTGAATACCTACACATACAAACGTGTGCGCATACACATGCATGTATACATGCATGCACACCTTTAAACAGAAATGCATGCATGCATATACACACATGCATAGCTATATACATATATATATGTACATAGTTACATATACACACATTTCTCTGTTAATAAACAACAAATCTGTATTGGATAAATGCTCAGAATTTTTTTACTGATAAGGGGTTGCCGACTTCAAAAAGTTGGAGACCGTTTCTCGGGCCCTCCTGCTCCCCTCTGCTGGTGACTCTTGTGCTTACCAAGAGTCAGTATTTTGTCTTCCCAAGTCTGTGTGTGTTAGCAATACTAACCAACATTTGCAATAATGTAATTAGATTGTATATAAGCCAATGAAATGTAAGTTCTTGCTCCACTGTAACTAGAAATCAGAGATATAATGCATTATGAGTATGATTTATGCAGAAAAGACCACGCGGAACTTCGGTCGGTGGAACCCAACTCAAAGAAAAGTCCTCGGCTCTGCATGAAAAGATTGGCAAGTGAATGTATATATTCTAAGCTAGATAACTTATTTCAGGTGTTTATGAATTATTATTTTATGAGCCCTACCTTTAACTGACTTTGATTAACTGACCAGTTCCCAGCCTGTCTGCAAAGCGTACGCCCAGCTGTCTGCACAGGGGGAAAGGTATGCCAGGGCCACGTGCTCAACACAGTCGCATTGCTTCTGTGTGTGTGTGTGTGTGTGTGTGTGTGTGTGTAAGAATGGAACTTTATCCGGTACATTGTAGACACTTGGGTTTGGTTGGGTGAAAAGGGACTCATCAATGACGTCCTTCCACTTATTCCCTTGATATTCTGTTAGGAGGTCCAGCTTTGTCTGTGTGAGTTTATACTCACGTACGTGGAGTGGTATTGTTGGGTGGTGAAATGACTACCCAAAATGTCTTCTCCCTGTCTTTGTCTCTTAGTAGCATTAAAAGCCCAGGTCTATAATACTTCAGAACATTTCTAATCCACAACCGATCATGGTGATGGCGCAGGACCCGGTAACATTCCTTCTGTTGTGCGTGGGGTTGCCATGATCGAAGTCGGCTCAACGGTAACGATGAAATACTTCAGAGGATCCATGTGTCCACTGACTTTTTTTTTGTTTTTAAATAATGTTTTGAGTTTTTGGTGAAAGTTTACACAGCAAGTTAGGTTCACATTTGACAGTTTCCACACAAACTGTTCAGTGATATTAGTTACATTTATCACAATGTGTCAACATTCTCTTTAATTGTGTTCTTTTTCTTCCATTTCTAGTACTCTAGTTTCCCTGCCCCCTTACCTTCTCATCTTTGCTTTTGAATAATTGTTGACCTTTTGGTCTCATACTCATGGTTTTTAAGTAGGACACCGATCTTACAGGTAATATCCTTTATTTTGTGTGCCACTCTGCTGTTTCGCTAAAAGGTGATCTCGGGAGATAGGCTCAGTTCTAGGTTTAAAGAGTGTCTCAGGGTGATAGTCTCAGGGAGCCTCTGTTCTCTACTGTTCCAGTTTGTCTGTTTTTGGTTTTTTTTTTAAAGAAGAATTTGAGTTCAGTTGCATAGTTTCTTGCTAAGCTGCTGGCTCCCTGGGTCGCTAGAGGGACATAAGCTTAGGTGTCTGTTGCAGTGTCCCAGCATCCAGGACAGCACTCACACTAGTGAAAATTAATGTAAAGCACTCTACAGATATTCGCACAGAGCGTATACCAAAAACACCAAACCCACTGCAGTCAAGTCGATTCTGGCTCGTAGCTACCCCCTAGGTTTTCCAAGGCTGTAAATCTCTACAGACTGCCACATCTTTCTCCCATGGAGCCACTGGTGATTTCGAACCGCCAGCCCTTCAGTTAGCAGTCAGTCGCTTGAACCACTGTGCTACCAGGGCTCCTTCCAGAGTGCATAGTAAATGCTAATTGTTATTTCAGGAAGAGTGAGTTAATGTCAGCTTCTGCTGGAAAATGCCTATAAGACCTTCTGGGTGACAGGTTTCTCATCACTTTACACACGTTTTCCCTCTTTCTCTTATTTCACTTTTCAGGGGAGGCACAGACCAGCTCCCCTCTCCCCAGCTTCCTGATCGTCACCTCAGCTCATAGTTCTGACAGGACAGGGGTAGGATGGTCCCTCTGATGATGTGAGGATATCCAGGGACCAGGGCCAGGGAGAGGGAGGAAGTATCTGGACACAGGGCTGTGAGAACTTCCCGTACTTACGGTGTTTTGTTGTTGTTGTGAGCTGCTGTCCAGTCAGCCCCAACTCATGGCAACTGATGGACAACAGGAAAGAACACTGCCAGGTCCTACACCATCCCCATGATGGGTCGCAGATCAGACCGTTGGGATCCATAGGGTTTTCATTGGCTGATTTTCAGAAGTAGATCACCAGACTTTTACTCCTAGTCTTAGTCTGGAAACTCCACTAAAACCTGTTTAGCATCATAGCAACATGCAACCTTTCGCTGACAGACGGGTGGTGACTGCACATGAGGTGCATTGGCTGGGAATCGAACCCAGGCCCCCCACATAGAAGGCGAAAATTCTACCACTGAACCACCTCTGCCGTCCTTGAGGTGCTCTGGATTATTTGATCACCCCTTACCTGAAGCTTTTATCATAGTCGGTGAGCTAAGCAGAATTCCCTAAAAGGAGTTTTGTCCTTAGAATGGCTTGTGGGAACTGGTATTCTAAATTTAATTGGATGATGACAGGAATTTTGATGGGGAGATGGTAACAATGGAGATAGACGGGTTGATACACAGCAGGACAGTGCTGTGCTGTGTCCTGCCCTGGCAAGATAAGGAAAGCCGTGGTGAGCGTTCTGGGCACCTGTTGCTTTCAGCGCTTAATGAAAACGAGCTCAGTGACTTCATGGGTGTGATGTCTTTATCTCTCGATTTCCAGAGATTTCCAAAGCAAAAAAGTTTCCATTAAGGTTTATGCAGCACAAACTTAGGCAGATGGCTTTGGCCCTCTGTGCCTGAGGTGGTATATCTGTGAAAGAGTAGGATTAGTACCTACGGTAGAGGGTTCTATGAGGGTCAGAGGCGTCTGTTTGTACACGTAAATATTAAGAGTGATGTTCAGCACACAGCAAGCTCTCAGTAACTGGTTCATGAGTCCAGGTAGATCCAGTAGAACTTTCTGAGATGACAAGAATATTGTATATCTACACTGCCTGGCACACTGTTGAGCCCTTGAAACTAGGCTAGTGTGACTGAGGAATTTTAATTCGTTTAAATTTAAATAGTTAGTTGTGGCTAATGGCTACTCCGCTCAGTGCAAGTCTAGGGCTATCATAGTTATATCGTTTTTAATAGGGTTCTCAGAGCCCCTGGGGGGTGCAAACGGTTAATACACTTGGCTGCCAACAAAAAGGTTGGCAGTTTGAGTCCACCCAGTGGCTCCTTGGAAGAAAGCTCTGGTAATCTGTTTCCCAAAAATCAGCCATTGAAAACCCTGTGGAGCACGGTTCTACTCTGACACACATGGGGTTGACTCAACAGCACCTGGTTTAATATGGTTCTCTGTAAAGACCTGGAAGAAGACCCTGGTATGACAGGTGGTGAAAATGTTATAAATGGTATGTGTTATGGGTCTGTGTGACAGCATTTCAGGAGTAGAAAAGGTAATACCTAAAGCAAAGCATAGTGATCTTTAAACGGACTGCTATTTGCAAGAATCTTTCAAGGAGGGGAGGCAGCCTCATGGCAGGAGTATGACCATGGAAGTCAATCAGACGTGGTCTCACTTGTCTTTGCATCTTACTGGTTATGTGACCTCGGTCATCTTGCTTAACAGTTTACGCCTCCGTGTTTTCATCTGTAAAGTGGGAGTAATGCTACTACCTGCTTGCCTGCCAGGACTGGTGTTTGGGCTGCAGAGTGCCTTATGGCTAGTCTGTGCTCGATAAACGGAAGTTCCTATGACTTTTCCGATAAGGATGGTAGTAATATCAGAATTCCATATATAAGCACTGTCACTCACTACTAATTCGGTTGGAGAATTTAATTATCATTTTACTCCCTTCTGATACTGGAGATGCTGACCTGCTTGCTATAAATGTTGGTCCATGTATGCCTTTTTGACTTTCAACTGTTTAAAATAATCAGGCTCCATTGAGCTGAGGGTGGGGGAGAACTGTGAAATGATCACTGTATGTTGTATAACTCGGGCAAGAACAAGATGGTCTGCAGCAGGGGCTCCAGCTTCTTTTCCCTTCACGTTGCACACACACTTTTGACGTTAAAGCCATGTTTACATGTTACACTTTCAGCAAAGATTTTATATCCAGAAGTCGGTAAGATACAATTTTTTTCTAAAAGGAAAGAAGTGAGTTTTTTGGTACTAACTATGAGCAGACTGACTTCTGTGTGTTTTATCATCTTTATTTTTCTCAGTTAAAATCAAGTGACAAAAATATAATGAAGCTCTGACTTAGATGCCACTTTCTATCTTGTCTCTCTCCTCTCCTAGATGTGACATTTGCTGTGTCACCTTTCGAACACATCGGGGATTGCTACGCCACAATGCACTTGTCCACAAACAACTGCCGAGAGACGCAATGGGAAGGCCATTCATACAGAACAACCCTTTAATTCCTGCTGGCTTCCACGACTTGGGATTCACTGACTTCTCCTGTAGGAAGTTTCCGCGAATTTCTCAGGTATTCTGAGCCCGCAGCAAGCTCCCCAGTCAACACCCTTGCATTGAACTTCCTCTCCCTGAGGGCTTCCTTTCTTTAAAACATCCATTCAGTTTTGTGTTTTCTCTTACAATTCAACTTGACCCTTCCAGCCTTTATTTGGTCATTGGGTTGAGAAGGTTGGGTGGTCTTTTATTTTGTGTTGAATCTGGTGTCAATGTTTGAGTCTGGATCACCAAAGCCTTATTGCACATCTTTGGGGAATTTGAATTTAAGCTGTGAATTGTTCACCACCATCACCCCAGCCCTATCTTAGCTTGAATTTGTAATTTTTAAATCTTGTCCTTAGTATCTGCATTCAGAAAAACGAACAACAAGAAAAAACCCACTACTGTCAAGTCAGTTCCAACTCATGACAGCCCCATGTGTTACAGAGTAGAGCTGCTCCATAGAGTTTTCTTGACTGTAATCTTTAGGGAAGCAGTTTGCCATACCTTTCTTCCATGACACTACTATGCGCTTTTGAACCACCAACCTTTTAGTTAGTAGCCAAGTGTGTAAACCATTTGCACCACCCAGAGACCTTAATATTTGCATTCCAAAAAAAAAAAACCAAACCCATTGCCACGGAGTCGATTCTGACTCCTGGCAACTCTAAAGGACAGAGTAGAACTGCTCCATAGGGTTTCCAGGGAGTACCTGGTAGATTTGAACTGCCAACCTTTTGGTTAGCAGCCGTAGCTCTTAACCACTATGCCATCTAGGTATTTCCAGCACTGTAGTTTCTATTAAAAATGACTCAGGTCATCACTGACCCAAACAAGAAGAGAGCTGTATTTGTTCTCTGCTTATAAAGCAACTGCTAAAGCTACTTTGAAGCTATTTTTTCCCCATTTAAAAAAAATTGAGATATAAGGTATCAATAGTAAATTCCCAGCACCTGGAAGGCTCCCAGGTGCCCCTTCCTAAGCAGTTCTCTCTCCATGACCACAAAGGTCACTGTCCTGATCTCTGTCACCATCAGTTAGTTTTGCAGGGTACTCATTTTTAAAAAAAGAATTAATCTACCTCCCTGGGATTATTACCTAACTGTGGTACAGTGCTTCCCTGGGGAGAGTCCCTGGGAATTGATGTTCTTCATCAAACAAATGTGATTTTTTTTAAATTGTAGTAAGCTTATATAGAACAAAACATTTACCAGTTCAACCTTTTTGAAGTGTAAAATTCGTTGACATTGATTACTTTCACCATGTGTTGCATCCATCACCGCTATCCGTTCCCACGTTTTTCCATCACCCTTAACAAAAACTCAGTGTCCCCAAAGCAGTAACTCCCCACTCCCCATCCTGCCTGCCCTGGTATCCACTAATAAACTTTGTTTTCTGTATACTTCCCTGTGCTAGGTATTCCGTGTAAGTGGGGTCATACAGTGTTTGTCCTTTTCTGGCTGACTTATTTCACTCAGCATAAGCAAATGTGATTTTTTAAAAGCTTTGTGGCTTTACTTACTCCATCCGGGGGTTAACCAGCAGGGGGTGGTCTACTTCTTAAATGTTATGAAGAGAGGTTGGATGCTGGGACAGTGGTGAGATACTGGGTTTCGTGATTTGTAATGCTCTCCTTTACCCTGGGGTGTGGTGCAGGCCTGGTGTGAAGCAAACCTGCGGCGATGTATCAGCGAGCAGCACCGCTTCGTCTGTGAGACCTGTGACAAGGCATTCCCCATGTCCTCCTCACTCGCCCTGCACCGGCAGACCCACATCGCCGGGGGCCTGGGGCAGGAAAAGCCACAGGCCAGCCCCCTGGCTGAGGACACAGTCAACCAGAAGGTCTTCCTGGCCTTGTTGGGCCTGCAGCACACCAAAGACGCGAAGCCCACCTGCACCGAGGAGCTGCCTCCAGACGACAACCAGGCCATCCAGCTCGAGACACTCAGGTGCCAGCTACCTCAGGAGCCCGCCTGCACCAGCCTGCTGAGTCTGTCCCCTTTCGAGGCCACCTCCCTGGGTGGCCCGCTCACTGTCCTCCCAGCCACCAAGGAGAGCATGAAGCATCTGTCCTTGCAGCCTTTCCAAAAGGGTTTCATCATCCAGCCCGACAGCAGTATTGTGGTCAAGCCCATCTCTAGCGAGTCAGCCATCGAGCTGGCCGACATCCAGCAGATCCTGAAGATGGCCTCCTCAGCGCCCCCCCAGATCAGTCTTCCACCCCTCTCCAAGGCCCCAGCCACCCCCATGCAGGCCATCTTCAAACACATGCCCCCACTGAAGCCAAAGCCCCTGGTCACACCGCGCACAGTGGTGGCCACCTCCACGCCCCCGCCCCTCGTCAGCGCCCAGCAGGCTTCCCCGGGCTGCATCAGTCCCAGCCTGCCTCCTCCACCGCTCAAGCTGCTCAAAGGCTCGGCGGAGGCCACCTCCAACGCCCACCTGCTGCAGTCCAAGTCCGGGGCCCAGCCCAACACCTCCACGCAGCTCTTCCTGCAGCCCCGGGCAGAGCTGCCGGGCCAGCCTGAGATGAAGACGCAGCTGGAGCAGGACAGCATCATCGAGGCGCTGCTGCCCCTGAGCATGGAGGCCAAGATCAACCAGGAGATCACAGAAGGCGACCTCAAGGCCCTCATGGCAGGGCCTGCCGGCAAGAAGACACCAGCAATGCGCAAGGTCCTCTATCCCTGCCGCTTCTGCAACCAGGTGTTTGCCTTCTCTGGGGTGCTGCGCGCCCACGTGCGCTCCCACCTGGGCATCTCGCCCTACCAGTGCAACATCTGCGACTACATCGCCGCCGACAAGGCCGCCCTCATCCGCCACCTGCGCACGCACAGCGGGGAACGGCCCTACATCTGCAAGATCTGCCACTATCCCTTCACCGTCAAGGCCAACTGCGAGCGGCACCTGCGCAAAAAGCACCTCAAGGCCACCCGCAAGGACATCGAGAAGAACATCGAGTACGTGACCAGCAGCGCCGCCGAGATGGTGGATGCCTTCTGCGCCCCAGATACGGTCTGCCGGCTCTGCGGCGAGGACCTGAAGCACTACCGGGCGCTGCGCATCCACATGCGGACCCACTGCGGCCGTGGCCTGAGCGGCTGCCAGAAGGGTCGCAAGCCATTCGAATGCAAGGAGTGCAGCTCGGCCTTCACGGCCAAGCGCAACTGCATCCACCACATCCTCAAGCAGCACCTGCACGTGCCAGAACACGAGATCGAGAGCTACGTCCTGGCTGCGGACAGCGGCGGGGGCCCTGCCGATGGGCCGGCCGCAGAGGCCGCCGGCATGGTGGAGGAGGGCGGCTGCGGCCCCTTTGCAGACCGCAAGCCCATCACAGCCTTCCTGGAGCCCCAGAACGGCTTCCTGCATGGGGGTCCCGCCCCAACGCCCCATGTCTCCGTCAAGCTGGAGCCCACCAGCGGCTTTGCGCTGGACTTCAACGAGCCCCTTGACTTCTCCCAGAAGGGCCTGGCCCTGGTCCACGTGAAACAGGAAAGCGCTGCGTCCTTCCTCAGCCCCTCCTCCCTGGTCCCCTATGACTGCTCCCTGGAGCCCATCGATCTCTCCATCCCCAAGAATCCCAGGAGAGGAGACAAGGACACAGCTGCTCCTGGTGAGGCCGAGAAGCCCGAGCAGGAGCCCCAAGACAGCGAGCAGCCCCCGGTCTGTCCACCCCCCGGCCCCACCCTGTCAGGGGTGTTTGGGCCCAGTGGGGGTCTGGACAAGCCTGCAGCCCCGGGGCTAGCCACCTCGACAGCATCCCCCCAGGAGCCCCACGCTCAGGCCCTGCAGGGCGCCGTGCAGCTTGCCGTCCCCATCTACCCCTCAGCCCTCGTGAACAGCTCCCCACTTGTGGGCAACCCCACCCTCGTGAGCACCTCAGCCCTCCTCAGTGGCTCAGCCCTGCTGCGGCCGCTGCGCCCGAAGCCACCCCTGCTCTTGCCAAAGCCCCCCGTGACTGAGGAGCTGCCCCCCCTGGCCTCCATCGCCCAGATCATCTCCTCTGTGTCCTCGGCCCCCACCCTGCTGAAGACCAAGGTGGCCGAGCCGGGGCCTGCCAGCACCAGCAGTGGCCCCGTAGTCCCCGAGACTGTGGGAGGCGCCGTGCCCAAAGCTGCCCCCGCCCCCACTGACACCACAAGCCCGCAAGAGTCCGGGGACCCGCCGCCGACGGCCGCCAGCCCTGAGGCCGCCTCTCCCACCGAGCAGGGGCCAGCTGGCACATCCAAGAGGAGGGGTCGGAAGAAAGGAGCGAGGAGTCGGCCCAGGGTCGGCGGCGGCGGCATGGACTTGGACTCCAGTGGGGAGTTCGCCAGCATCGAGAAGATGCTGGCCACCACCGACACCAACAAGTTCAGTCCGTTCCTGCAGAGCGCCGAGGATGACGTGCAGGAGGAGGCGGCTGCAGCCCCGGCTGACCCCCACGGGCCCAGTGATGAGGAGCAGGCCAGCCCCCCCGAGGACAAGGGGCTGAGGGCCAGGCGGAACTCCTACGCCAACTGCCTGCAGAAGATCAGCTGCCCCCACTGCCCCCGGGTTTTCCCGTGGGCCAGCTCCCTGCAGAGGCACATGCTCACGCACACTGGTAAGCGGCCGCTTCCCAGCAGGGCATCACGTGGTGGGGCGGGGGAGGCTTGGGGGGCTTTTCCCACAGCCCATCCCCATCTACTCTCTTCCCAGTCTCAGAAGCAGAGCGCTTACCTGGTGATGCTCTGATAGTCCCTGTGTACTCTTAGTGACCAGAGTGACCTTTTTCACCAGGTCATTTACCAGAATGCCCCCTTGTCCTGTGTCCGGGCCCTCCAAGGACAGCTGTCGTTGAAGTGAGGTGTCCAGGTGTGTTAGTGAAAGTGAGCATAGACTGGCCAGAATCTCTCGCTTCCGTTGGCCCATGCCCTCTCCTGAGCAGGGCTGAGCCCAGGCAGCAGCCAGAGAAGGGGACTTTATATTAAGGTGTTGGACATAGTGAACTCAGGACTAGGACAGGAGAGATTGCATTCTGGCATCCTCGGTGCAGCTCTTTGTTCTTGAACGTTCTGGGATGTTGTTTTGGCTGTTGTGTTTCTGTAAAGGGGATGCATGCATGGTGGTGCTGGTGGCTCCCATCCAGCTCACGAGGCAGCTGCACCTTCTTGCTCCTGGTGAAAACTGGGGACAAGTGGTGGGGCTTTCTTAAATTATATTTATGTAAAAATTGTCGGTTGCTCCAGAGAAACATCTAAAGATAAATAATATTCTAAGTAATGGGTTTAAATTGCCAGAGAGACATCCCACAAGTATTTTTTTGAAATTAGTTTATATAAATTGATTTTCACAGAGTAGTTTAAGATAAGGAATATGCTTTAAATATTTTCATAGCAGGTACTTCTAACATTCAAATGACCATACAAGTCAACTATATAAGTTGATTTTTAAAGAGAAGTTTAAAATAAAGAATATTCTCGGCATGATTTTAACCAGGTATTTCTAATATTCACATGACCGACCATACAACTCTCGTCTTAATTACAGTTTACTTAATGTTCACTCAGGGTTTATGTATCATTGAACTAAGGGTAAATTGGGTGAAATCCTTACCTTTTTGGAGTTTACAACCCAAATATTAATAGATAGAACCTAAAACAGAACCAAGAGTTATGTGGTACAGGATTGCCAGATAAAATACAGAATGGCCAGTTAAATTTGAATTTCAGATAAACAGCAGATGATTTTTAGTGTGAGTATTTTCCATACAATATTTGGGATATCAAAAACTGAACTTGTCATGGAGTTAATGCCAGCTATGGCGTCCCCCCCTGTGTTACAGAGTAGAACTACTCCTGGGGTTTTCTCGACTATAATCCTTACAGAAGCAGTTTAGGCCTTTCTTCCACAATTTGGGATATACCCTATACTAAGAAGTTATTCCTTGTTTATGTAAAGTTCAGATTTGAATGGGCATCCTGTACTTGTGCTTGCTGAGTCTGGCAACCCTAAGGTTTAGACAGTATGGTGAGGGGAGGGGAGGAGGGAGGAATGAGCGGTGCTCTGTACCAGGTGGAAACGCTTGATCTAGAGTGAATCACATCAGGAGGCTCTGAAGAAGCTGGAAGAAGGCTGTCTCTACTAGAGAGGTAGAGCAGCTTGAGGAAGGTTGTGGGCTGTCCTTGGGAGCAGAACATGTCAAAAGGAGACACGGGAAGGGAGAACCCCTGTTGAGTTGTGCGTAGGAGGGTTGGGGGGTCTTCTGAAGCTCCACTGGCCATAAGGATTGCCCTGTGGATGCCACTCCTCCTTGCTGGTGGGGTGGGGCCTGGAACCCAGGAATGGAGTGGTAGAGGCAGGATCGAGTCAGCAGTGCCAGTCAGTAGAGGGATCCTTTAACTGGAGCCAGAATTTCTAGATTCATAAAGCATAGGCTGCGTTTGCAGTCCATCATTCTCTTTCTGTTTGAAATCAGTTGAGCCTAAGAGAGTCAATAGTAGTTGTAATGAAGGAAGTGGTTCAGAAAGGAAGACAAGGTTTAAAGAGAAGATGCTCCACACAGCAGTTTCTTCTTCACTTTTGGGTGACATCTGTGTGTCCCAGCTGAGCATCTGTGGAGAAGTGAGTATTTCTGTTACCGCTTTTCAGAAGGCAGATGGTCTGGATCTAATTCTTAGTCTAGCTCTCGCCCTTCCTCACAGTTCTCCTCTCTCCCCCTGCCAAAACCAGCTTCTCAGCGTCCACCCTCCTTCAGTTCAGTCCTGGGCTGGGTAGATAGTGTGTGCAGGTTCTTTGGATGAGGGCATTTATTCTTGGACGTTCTCCTGGCCATCTCGCTAGGCCAAGGGGAGTGGCCAGTGTTTACTTTCAAGATCTTTGCCTGTGCTTTGCAGATGCCTGATGTAAGTTCCTACTTGAAAATCCAGCAGTTGTGATTGTCTGGCGTTTGAATGCCATAATGTCATAGTTGGTTTAAAATTTGGCGGGGTCAGAAACAGAGCAAGGAGGAGGGACGTTTGTTCAGGATGGCAGTGATACTGTGGGGTAGGGTGGGGTGGGATGGACGTAAGTATGGGGATACTTTACCACATCCCCCTTCATAGTCACTGGTGACCTAAGAGATGTGTTGGTTTGGGCCCAGCTCATGTTGTCCCTTCATAGATGATGTTCTACTGGGGACTGTGGGCCTTGAGTTGGGTGAGGGGAGCATTCAGGGTTGGTAGAGAAGCCTTTTAGAGCTAGTCTGTGAGGATGATGTTCCCGTTTTGCCAGGAGGAAGTTGAGGCTTGGAGAGGCTAAGCCACTTGCCCAAGTCATGTGAGGAATAAGAGGTAGAGCTAGAATTCAAAGGCAGAGCCGAGTTCCCTGTAGCCATGCGAGTCCACCCAGCAGCACCTAGGAAGACAGTTCTGGTGATCTACTTCCAAAAAATCAGCCACTGAAAACCCAGTGGAGCACAGTTCTACTCTGAAACACATGGGGTCACCATGAGTCGGTGTCAACTCGTTGCCAACTAGTATAAAGCACTTGGCGATTTGATTCTATGTTAAAATGTTTCCACTCATTGAGTGTTAGGGCTGGAAGGAACCCAGGAAATCATCTAATCCAGTCTGCTCTGTGCAGACCTACCATTTTCCTGGTGGAACACTCTGCTGTTAGAGAGTCTCAGAGCTGAGTATTCCTGCACTCTAATTCTCTGTGAGAGACGCTGCCTCCAGAAGCTTTGAAAGAAGACTTAAGGCATACGTTTAAACCAAATCCGTTGCCATTGAGTCAGTTCCAATTCATGGCAACCCTGTATGTTACAGAGTAGAACTACTCCATAGTGTTTTCTTGTCTGTAATCTTTATGGAAGCAAATAGCCAGGCGCCACTGTGCGTGTTTGAACCTCCAGTCTTGAGGTTAGTAGTGGAGCGCACACCGTGTGCGCCACCCAGGGACCATAGGCATACGTTTAAGAGGGCAGAAATTAAACATTGACTTGGAAACAACCCTGTCAACAAAGGTGTCGTACAGGGAAGAGGTGGTGTTTTTTAATTGTAGTATTAAAGTCTAATTGGGTTCTGGCCGGAAGCTTTGCTCAGTCTCCAGATTCAGATTGCACCGAAGTTTAAAGTCTGCATCTTGAGAGTCAGCCCTCTCCTTGGCCTCTCAGCAGTGCATGGAATCATTGTAACGTCTGTACTTAATCTCACA